CCTGAGCTTCAACATCTGGAACAAGATGAAGGACCTGGTCTCCTACAGTCCTGTGGTTCTGGACCCAAACTCTGCTCATCCAGGACTCGTCCTGTCTGAAGATCTGATCAGTTTGAGACGAGGAGAGAGACAGAAGCTTCCTCACAATCCAGAGAGGTTTGATTATTACATCTCAGTCCTGGGATCTGAGGGTTTTAACTCAGGGACTCACAGCTGGGACGTCCTGGTTGGAGACAGTACAAACTGGGCAGTGGGTGTGTTAGCAGAGTCTGTCCAGAGGAAGGGAGACATTCTGTCTGGATTATGGAGAATACGGTTCTATGAAGGTGAATACTCAGCATGGTCACCATCAGGATCATCTGTTCTCTCTGTGGAGAAGATCCAGAGGATCAGAGTGAAACTGGACTGGAACAGAGGAGAAGTGTCGTTCTCTGATCCTGATACTAACAAACACATTCACACCTTCAGAGACACTTTCACTCAGAAGATGTTTCCATACTTTAACACTGTAGATCCACTGAAGCTGTTACCTGTGAATGTGACCGTGGATCAGAGCAGTTACAGATAAAGATTTGATTTGTCATGTTGTTGAATTTAACTGTTCAACTCGTTTTTCTAAAGCTTCGTTTATTTCTGCTTTTACTTCTCACTCATTTTTATTTCTACTGTCGACTTTTCCACGTGTGTAAAGAGAGTTCATTATTTTCTGATCTTTCTCTTTGGTTTGTTTTTTTATTTTCATGGAAAATGTTTGTGATCATTTAGATTTTGTGTGGATCCATGAAGACGAGCAAACTGATGAAGATCCACATCAAAACACATTCATCAATAACAGCTGATCATTGTTCACATTCAACAAACTTTATTAAAACTCAGACATGAGACATGATTCATGTTGAATGACATAAAGTCTGTGCACATGTGAAATAATCCAACATATATGAACATCTGATTTCAAATGTAAGTCTAACATTATCTGTCATTAAATAGGATTCAACACTTTTATATTGAGTTACATACGTTTATTAATTAATTATTATTTTTTTTAAATGTACAATCATTTGACGATGTCAAACTTTTTACTTCACTCACACACACATTACCAAGCAAACCTGAGCTGATGTGGAAACAGTGAATATTTAATTTTGTTCATGAGAGTGAAGCACATACATGACAAAATAAGATTTCACGAGGAGAGAGAGAGAGAGTGGGGGCGAGCGAGCAGTAGTAATTGGCGTGATGTTGTTTGGGAGGCAGATGAGAGCAGAGTTAACGAGCTGAGCCTCCAGCACCAATTAAACAACAAGCTGCAGACGTGGACCGAGGAGAGTTGCTGTAATTAAACACACACACACACACACACACACACACACACACACCCACAGATTCAGGTGAAGCTGTTTTTCAGATTTTCTTTTTCTCTGTCTCTGAATAACTTCCATCAAATGTAAACATTATAAAACCACCACCCGAGCTGGATGAAAGCCTTTTCACAATAAAAGTCATGGGTTACGTTCTCAGAATCAATTGTTTTTTTTCCACGCACTCGTAATAATCCACAGAAACTAATTTGTCAAAGCGCTATGGGAGGGGCCTGTTGACGTCATGATTGACAGCTGACACTGACTCCTGATTGGTCAAATGATGTAATGACTGGACCGTGAAACCACGGCGAGTGACGTGACGTCATTTGGAGCCAGTGGATGCACCTGCAAGGTCCCGCCCACAGCCTGACCAGCTGTCAATCATGACGTTTCCATCATCAAATAACTAATTAAAACCAAACTGATCCTAAACTTAAACTATCGAACAAACTTCAGTGAGAAAAGAACGTCTCATATTTAATCCCATCTGCTTACATGGAGGAGGTGGGGTGTATGACCTATACTGCAGCAAGCCACTAGGGGGCATTTGAGACACTTTGGCTTCACTTTAAGGAACCATCCTGACGTCCATCTTTAATTACAGTCACTGACGTGTCGGCCATTGTCAGAGGTCAACGTCCAGTCTCAGCGTCTCAGCTGGAGGTGATGTCACAACCTGCAGTTTGCTGCAGAATCTTTTTGAAACTTCTCGCAACAGTTTGAATCTTTTGACCGTTTCCTGTCAGTGAACGCATCGTCCTCACCCTGAGTGTCTGAGCTGCAGTGACTCCCCCCCGACCTGAGGACGACTGAAAGCTCTAATCATTACTGCAGCTGTGTACAAGGGGTGTGTGTGTGTGTGTG